ATTCCCATTAACAAAATGAGCTGTTGCTTGTGCACTTCAAGGTTCGTGAGAGAAAGTAAAGAAAAAATGAGTAAGTCTCAATTTGCTTTTGTTATAAACTTATTTTTTATCTTTTTTAAAGTCCAGCAGTACCAAAAATACTTGAATCGCTCACAATTGTAATAAATTTATGGTTAAAACTTTTACTGCGCTCGCTTTTATAGATACGAATATAAAAAATACCAAAATTGTTAAGTTCAAGGTCTTTATTACATTACAAAAGGTAATAGGTAATATGTAGATTTAGATAAATAATGAATTTATGTTTATGCATAACAATAGACACAAATAACAAACTAGGTATTACATTATCATAAAATACTCGGTTACAATCATTATTATAATTAAAAAAAAATTATATGTTTACTGTTCTCTATGTCCTGCATATAAAAAGTACATCATAGCAAATATTTTATTTACGTATTAAAAAATAGCGTTTATGTTGTGCTTTTTACTTTTCCTTTTTTTGAAAATGTTTATCTTTCTATTCAGTTCTACGTTTTTATGGAACGCGGAACTTTTCAACACTTACGCGGATGTATGTAAGACTTTACTCATATAAATTTTACACAACATCCAGTATATAACTAGAAAAATATACTTTTAAATAGAGCACGTTAAAGAAACTAAAAATTCCGTTTGTTTTATCAAGAATTTCTACATATTGTACCTAGTGGTTTAAAAACAAATCAGTGACATTGCCTATGTATAAATATCTTTAATTTCAACATTACAGTTGTATTACTAATGAGGCACCCTGTATATATTTATTAGCTCTAAAAATGAATTTAAACGGAAAGAAACAAATTTTCTTTATTTCAATAAATTCTTATTAAAAAAACACCCTGTATGTTTGACAATAACAATTAAGATTAAACCTAGAGCAGATAAAAAATGAAATTCAATATATTTTGTCGTTTATTGGAGTATTAAAAAAAGGTGAATAAAAACTAATATGTATTGTTTAAATAAACACAATATTTAGTAATCCTGTATATGTAATTTTAGTTCTGTACTCACCTAATAATAAAATATGAACGTTTTTATGCTTATCGGCTATTTCACACAGCTCCTAAAAATATAAAAAAAATATTTCCTAATTTTTCAAATTTTGTAATACGCAATAGTAGTATGCTATTTAAAATTATGAACAATTATTTATGAAAATAGTAATTTTCGTTCGTGTGGTTAGGGCCTTTTAATTTATTTTTGCCGCATTTAACTTTTACGGGTTAGATATTTCAAATGTACAATAAACCGCATGAAAATTATCTTACATTCCATAAAATATTGCGTCATTATCAGTAAGTTAGTAATGACTTGCATGAAATACTGTTAATGTCTACGTAAAATAAAAAAAATCACATTTTTGTTATCAACTAATCGACATGTCTGATTAAAAAACTCTATTTTTGCTGCGTATAATAAGATGAACACGCATTAAACTTCTCAGTTGTTAATATTAATACAAAAAAGAATATTTACGAAACAACTATTTTTAAATTTGCCATACTATTACTAGATATTTCGCAATAACCGGTATAGATGGCATGTCATACATCCCAGAAAATTTAAGTTGTTTTAAATTTGCCGCATTTGTTTAAAAAGTCGTCAGTTCGCGCGTGTGTGTAGTGTGTGCTGCAGGGTTCGTACAAATAATTGCCAACTTTTAAAAAATTTTTAAAGAGAAAGGCCAGTTCAATTTTAATCATTAATTTTACGCTCGTGGCACCTTAAACAATTCCACATCATTTCAAAAATGGCTCCGGTGGGTAAGTAAAAATAAACTTATTAATTTCGTTTAAGCATTAACGTAATACACACGTCAGATGGTCGGTTTCGTCTCTTACCTTGGCTTTTTCTAAATTTCTGCAAGTCGCTATTAGCTTGTCAGGTGGATTTGGAATGCTCAACAAATGTTTCACTAAACCGAGTCCCAGTCCCCGATTACAGCCGGTAATTAAAATTGATTTAATCATTATTCTAATAAGGATAACTTTTTAAAACGAACAACGAACCAATTGTGAACGATAACGGAATAATATAAAGTATAAATAGGGTTATGATTTGATTTCGTTAAAAAAGAAAAACAAGGTCAACGTAAATGGCGTCAACAAGGCTGTTTTTTTCTCGAGGATTTGTTAACGACAGTGTGGTGCTTTCGATTCGTAAATTCACTATTTTTCGAACCGAAAAGAAAGTGTTTATTAGGATGTTTAGTGCCCAAACAATAGGTGAATATACGTTTCATCACTCAAACCTGTTAGTACAGTACTGCTTGACGAAATGGCTAACTAATTTTTAACCAGTTTTTACCACTTTTTATTCTAACAACTAACAAGAAAAGAAAGGTCCAGCGTTGTGTATGAATTAACAGGAAGTTTTTTTGAATTTGTCACAGGTGAGGCTCCAAAACCTGAATATGATCTTGTCGTTATTGGAGGAGGATCTGGAGGCTTGGCATGTGCAAAGGAAGCCTCAAACTTAGGTGCTAAGGTTGCAGTATTAGATTATGTAACACCAACACCATTGGGAACTAAATGGGGACTTGGTGGAACTTGTGTGAATGTCGGGTGTATCCCCAAAAAATTAATGCATCAAGCTGCATTATTAGGAGAATCATTACATGTAAGTAACTAAATAATGTGTGCTTGACTTTAATAGTACGTATATTAATTGCATTGCAAAACATATATGTAAGGGACTGAAATTTAGTGTTTGTTTATTTAAATTATTTGTTAAAGTAAATAACTATGATTAGAATATGTTTTATTAAGCTAGCATTAATTACTTTTTTGTTGTCTGTAAGTGCTTTTTTAGTGGCATATGAAATACTTTATCTATTAATTAGTAGTGTTATCTATTTCATTTAGATGATAAGGAGATACATCAGAAATTTATGGTACAATACTTGTCTTTAAATACTGATGAAACAATTTTGTTGTAATTGTAAATGTTCATGTTATATTTTTCTATTCCATTGATTCCTATTTCATTACTTTCAAATGAAATATGTTTCAAGTTAACATTACTTTTAAGGCATTATTAATGTGCTAAAAATCTCAATTTGTTATTATAATTATAATTGAAATATTTTAAGGATGCTCAAGCTTATGGTTGGCAGTTGCAACCAGAAAACATCAAACACCAATGGTCTGCTTTAACACAGGCTGTACAAAATCATATAAAATCAGTCAATTGGGTTACCAGGGTCGATTTACGTGATAAGTAAGTTTTAATTGTAAAAAAGCAATCTAATATTGAAGGTTCTAACATTTTTTTAATTTTTTTTAACAGGAAAGTAGAATATATTAACGGTTTAGGTGTTTTCAAGGATCGTTACACCATTCAGACAACAACAAAACAGGGTGAACGCCTCCTCACATCTAAATATTTCCTTATTGCCTGTGGAGGAAGGCCACGTTACCCTGACATACCCGGTGCAGTCGAATATGGCATAACTAGTGATGATATTTTTAGTTTAAAGAATGCCCCAGGAAAAACCATAATCATTGGTGCTGGATGTATCCTTTCCATTAACATGTACATTTTTTTTTTAAGATTCACAATTACTATGTTAAAATCTGTTGGTCATGTTTTTCCTTAATGATTATAAAGATATTGGTCTTGAGTGTGCAGGGTTTTTAAATGGATTAGGGTATGATGCAACTGTGATGGTTCGATCTGTAGTTCTCAGGGGCTTTGACCAGCAAATGGCCGGAATTATTACCGAGTCTATGGTTCAAAAAGGAATTAAATTTCTTCACAAGTAATTCTTTCCTGTTATGTTAACTTTATGCTCAATTTTTAGTAATAAGTCCCTTTTTTCTGATAATAGATCACAATTACATATTAGATAAGATAAAGCTATTGATCAATTTCCACTTCCTTATTGTAACTGTTATTGTTGTCAACTTCAACTTGTTTTTTTTTTTTTCAGGTGTTTGCCAGATTCTGTGGAGAAAACGCCAGAAGATCGACTCCTGGTGAAATGGCATAACCAACAGGGTGAGCAGTTCTCTGACGTCTACGACACAATCCTCTTTGCAATTGGAAGACGTGCATTAACGCGGGAACTCAAAGCAGAAGTTGCAGGCATCAAATTGGCCCCAGACAACGAAAAAATCGACGCTGTTAACGAACAGTCAAATGTACCCCACATTTACGCCGTTGGAGACGTTTTATATGTAATACTTTATATATATATTCATAAAGCCAGGGGTTTAAATGAATGTTTTGTTATAGAAAAAGCCTGAACTCACACCTGTAGCCATTCATGCTGGTAGATTGCTAGCCAGGAGGTTGTTTGGGGGAAGTACACTGCAGATGGATTATCAGAACGTTGCCACAACCATTTTTACGCCCTTAGAGTATGGATGTGTAGGTAAGTGTAAATATTTACAACAGAAAAATTTTGTTGTTAATTAATGCTGACACTGTATGTTGGGTTGCCTGCATACATGAGACAGGTATGTGTATACATGTGACAGGCAACCCAACATACAGTATCAGTACGTTATTAGATACAAAAAGTTCTGAACTGTTTTGTTGAATATTTGTTTAATTGAAGTTCCATGAATGTTTTTCTAATTTTTGAATTTGTAATCAGAACTTTTTGTATCTACCAATTTATCAGGGAGGCAATAAAAATTAATATGTTATTATTTAAGGTCTTAGTGAAGAAAAGGCCAATGAAGACTATGGTGCTGACAATATTGAAGTGTATCATGCTTATTACAAGCCAACAGAGTTCTTTATTCCACAAAAGTCGATAGCGCACTGTTATTTAAAGGTGGTGTCTTTACGGGAGCCTCCGCAGAAGGTCTTGGGCATGCACTTTATTGGACCCCAAGCTGGAGAAGTTATCCAAGGATTTGCAGCCGCCTTGAAGTAAGTAAAACATTTTCTTTCAAGTCCCAACTCTTTTCCTGCTAAATTATATCCTTCTTACCTTCATCCTTTGTCCAGATCATCCCTGTATATGGAGGAAAACGCCTCTCGGTATGTTTAGAAAATAAGGGATTGGGAAGGGTTTTTCTAAATTTTGATGTTTTCAGGTCCAATTTGACCGTAGAAACCCTAATGAATACTGTTGGTATCCATCCTACGATTGCTGAAGAATTCACGAGAATAAACGTTACAAAAAGATCCGGGAAAGACCCAAATCCCGCTTCCTGCTGCAGTTAAAATTGTTTGAGGGTAAGAAGGGGGGAAGGGGTTAGCAGTGTTGCCGTCAGAAATTGGGGGGTGGACTGTGTCGCCAGGGCAGTAAGACCGTGTTTTAAGTAAATGCAATCTAAAGGAGTGATTATGGTGTGATTTTTTTTGCTCTTAGCTTGCTCTATATTTAATTCTTTCTTATACATGAGTGCCTTTTTTAAAAAAGCTATGTAAAAAAAAGGGTAAAGGTAGTTCAAAACATCAGAGTTGGTTCAGGAGCAATGTGGAGGGCGACAACGAGCGTGAAAAATTATTAAAATAAAACGCCATTTTTAATTCCTTAAGTATTTTTTTTTGTTTATTTTCTGTTCTTTCGTATGGTTGTTGTTGTTGCGCAAATTTTGTGTAATTTATAATCTTGATCATCACTTGCCCTTTGTAATTAATTACATTTGTATTAATGCGTTAATTGTTAAATAGGAAATTGTACGATTTTAAGGTAATGCACTACAAGTCGGATAATTAATAAAACAATGCATTCCAGTAATATGTTGGAATTAAAAGAGAAATAGAAAACGTAACTAATATGCGATTATAAAAACAAGTGTTAAATGTGATCCAAATGCATATTACTTAACTTTCTGTTTTATATTCTATGTAAAAGTCACCAAAAGAAATATAAGATGTGGATTTTATGCATTTTTTTTGTTTTGTTTGTACCAAAATAATGAAAAGATAAAGGTGCTTGTATGTCGCCATAGCTGTTATCAATTTTAAAGCACGTAATTTNAGAACTAATCACTTATTTTCAAAACTACAGACCTTTGTTAACATTATTGGTGCCACGGTGTTCGTCACAAAAGTGTCCACAAGTTGTGACGGTTTCACCAAATGTAATTTTGTCGACTTGGGAGAAGTACCGGCATTGTTGAAAAGAACGTTTAAGCCATCGTCTTTCAGAATATTTTCAAGTTTAAGCTTAAAATCGTCGTAGGAATTAAAATCTGTAACATCTGAATTCAAATTTAACTTTAACGGTTGCAATTGTAAAAGCTGAACATCCTGTATGTTTATTGTTTATAATTATTATAGTAATTGTAATAATGTCTTGTGGCTATCATAAATTCGTAAATTTTTCTCGTAAGATGAACAAGGAATTTTTATTTATTATTTTGGAACCTAAAAGTCTCTTATAACTATAAAATAAAACGTGCTACAATAAAATGTTCTAAACAATAACATTTATGATTCTTACAAGCTATTTGAATACGTAAACGCGATATCTTTAACTTCAATATTAAACAAGGGACTTTAATTAAAATTTGCCCGCATTTGTCACTTTATCTATCGTTGAAATCATCGAAAATTCGTAAATCTGAATGGTTAAAGAAATATACTTTAAACAAGATACTTACATCTGTCTCAAAGGAAAGAGAGAGCAGATATCTAGCGCATACAAAATTATTTAAAATAACTACGAGTATTTGTTTATTTATATTATAATGTTCCTAGCAGATAATACAATGCCATTATGCTTCACCCAAATTCGTGCATCTGTTAGAGACTGTGCAGAAAAATTAGAAAAAAAAGATAATGAAAATTTTACAAGAATAAGATATCTTTACAACTATTACTAATTAATTAATTACTTCTACGTTATATTTTGTAATTTGATAGAGTATAGTATTGAGTTTCACTCAAAAAAACTATTCTCGTTACATAAAACATTATCTAATTTTATTTGTTGTCAGGGTTGTAATATTTGCTGCAAGTTGGGTTGCCTATGAATTATATTACAACTTGTAGCTTGATTTAATAGTTTAATGTATTGTAAAAGAAAAAAATGATTTCTATGCATCCCTAACTGTATCTACATGGAAAAAATATAATTCAAAGATGATAATTCATCAATCTCCTTCAATTAAAATGAAATTACAGCTTAATTACAGCTTTTGTCTAAACTTGTCCCGGCGCCTCCACCAAAATTTTTAATAAATTTTTTCATTATTTGCTTATGACGTTTATCTATCATCATGAAAGTATTATTTTCATCAAAATTTAATTAATACTAATAATTAGCAATTAAATACGTATAAGTATATATAATACAGCTCCAAATAAAAATGTTTAGGTAGGTAGGTATTTTCATCCAAATTGTATCGGATGTTTTACTATGAAATTAATTATTTCTACATAATATCTGGTGTTTTGTTAGAGGATGGTATTGTTTCACAACAAGAAGTTATTTTCGTATAAAAATACCGTTTCTAGCTCCCTTTGTAGTTAAATAATTAAGGTTGTAAATTTAGCTGTATGTTGGGTTGTCTATGTGTTATCTATATTATACGTACAAATTGTAGTTTAATTTATTGGAAAAAGACAAAATAATTAACATTCCTAATTGCATCTACATGGAAAATATAATTTAAAGATGAAAATTCATCAATCTACTCCATTGAAACCAAAATTTCAAGTCAATTATAGCTTTTATTTCAAATTGTCCCGGCGCCTCCGCCAAAATTGTAAGTAATTTTTTGACAGTTCTTAATAACGATAATAAACACGAATTGAAGCAATAATTTTTTAAAATTGTTACTTTTTGATAATAATTACACAATTTAAAATATTCTTTGACTATTTCTTCTTTAGTTATGCTATTCCTATAAAAAAAATTGAAATGACGAAAACAAAAAGATGCTAGAAAATGTATTACGATCTGCAACTATTTGTAGTTGTTCCGGCTATGTATAGACACAATTGAATACTTAATTATGACTTGAATTACGTAAATTTATATTTGTGTGGTAAAGTATGACTAATTATCGGTTAGCGAAGCTTGATATTTCAAGGTTTTACTGGGGACCTACAATTATTGTAGGTAGTTTTAAGAGACAATCTGCAAGTAGCTAAGCTTGTAGATGTACCCATTACTATAAAAAATCATGTCAGGGTCGAAGGTTAAAACAATTAACTTGAGTAAACCTATTTTACAAACCTTTTTTGTAGCTACACATAATTTAAATTATTTTAATATTA